TATAGAGAGGGCACTTGAGGCCCAGAGAGGTGAAGCAGTGTCCTCAAGTCACCCAGAAAAGAAGGGGCAGCCCCAGCACACAGCTCGGGTATGTGTAACTGCAGGATTAGGTTAACTATCATGGGCAGGGAGAGGCCCCAGTCTCCTGATGGCTCTTTTGCCAGGGTGCGGACTCAGGAACAGTGGCAGGTGGCTCAGGTGTAGGCAGGGATGAGGGAAGGATCTTTGGATCTCTGGTAGAGAGGTAGAGGCTAGTAGGTCATAGGACCCAGACACACTGGGAAAGGGGACATCACAGTCTCATAGACCCAGGCCCAACTTTAGCCCAGCTCACCTGTAGATGTCAGCAGGAAGGAGAAGGTGAGGAGAAGCCACATTGTGGAGGAGGGACCAGGTCTCAGCTGCAGTTGGGGTGGGGAGAGAGAACGGAGGTGAGGCCAGACCCCTCTGCCCCCATAAGGATCCCTCCAGGCACAAACTCATCCCACCTGAGAGGGTGGTAGGTTAGAACCTGGCCCCGGCCAAACTGCAACAAAAAAATAGCTGGGCGTTGTGGCAGACACCTGTAGTCCCAGCTACTCAGGAGGCTGAGGCAAGAGAATCACCTAAAACCCAAGAGCTGGAGACTGCTGTGAGCTGTAATGCCATGGCACTCTACCAAGGGAGACAAAGTGAGACTCTGTCTCTAAAAGGAAAAGAAAAGAAAACAAGAGAAAAGAAAATAAATTTTCTTTTATCCCCTACATGTCCCCCTCCCTCTATACCACCCTACATGTCCCTCCAGGTCCCCATGTCTGGAGGGTCTACTGTTCCTCTGTGGACCAGGATGCCTCTCCCACCATATCACCAGCCCCAGGTTTCACTCCATCCCCAAGTTCCCTGGCTCTGTCCCCTCTCTTACCTGTCTGGCCTTTTGGGTTCCCCTTCAGTCCAGTCCTCCCTGCTCAGCTTGTCCCCCACCCCTGGCTCCAGAGAGTCTTTCTGTATCCAGAGCTAACTGTGCCCTTCCCCTGCTCACAGTCCTCCAGGGTAAAGCCCAGCCTCTTGGCTTCACTTTCAAGGATGTTAGTGGTTTTTCCCTTTCCAGCCTCTCTGTCTGGTCCTCCATGACACTTTTTTTTTCTTTTTTTTTTTTTCTGAGGCAGAGTCTCATTTTATTGTCCTCAGTAGAGTGCTATGGCACCATTCCTCACAGCAATCTCAAACTCTTGGGCTTAAGTGATCCTTTTGCCTCAACCTTCCAACTAGCTGGGCACTATAGGTGCCCATCACAATACCTGGCTATTTTGAGAGCTAGGGTCTCACTCTGGCTCCAGCTGGTCTCGAACTCTTGAGCTCAAGCAATCCACCTGTTTCACCTTCCCAGAGTGCTAGGATTACAGGTGTGAGCCTGGCCTACTTTGTTCCCTTAGACAGAGGCACTGCTGCAATTTCATGCCTCCTCACTTTTGCTCAGGTTGTTCTTCCTGCAGGTATGCCATCCTCTCAAGGTCCACTTCCTCTTTGAGGCCTTTTCTGATCTCCTATGACCCTCAGTGGTATCTGCTTCCCCTACCAGTCTGGCGGTTCCCTGTGGGCAGGCCTGGTTTGACTGGACTCTGGGGTCCCTAGTTCTGCCCAATGCAGGGTCTGGCCCATGGGAGGTCTTTGGAAGCTTTAGGAGTGAATTAAAGCCCTTCTTCCCCCCCATCTTACAAATTCCTCTTTGTCCTCCAAGGTTCAGCTTCCACCTCTTCTGGGAGGCCCCAGTATCTAACAGGTGTCTGTCTGGATCCCACAGCACCCACTATGCCTCCATGACAGCATAGATGCCCACAGATGCTGAGGTCTGGCTCGTCCTTTCCCCCCATCTGAAGGCCTTGAGGATAGGGTTAAGGTCGGGTCCTCTCTGTGTCCTCAGCATTGTCCAGCCTAGGGCCCGGTACATGGAAGACTTCAGGAAGGTTGTGCTGAACTGACATGAACCTGTGATAACTCCCGGTCATGTTCTTGGCTATGGTACAAGTGTTTTCAGGGACATTCTCCTGATTCACTCTGTCTCCACCTCCCCCCACCTAGCCACAGCAGCTTCTAGTGGCTCCAGGACATTTTCCTGGTTCAGGTTCAACTTGAGGCCTCAGTAAAATGACACATGGACCTACGTAGTGCCCTTGACAGTTCCCCCAGTGTAGTCCATGTCACCCCTTGAGACCAGAGCATTCTGTGCCACCTCACCATTCCCACCCACCCCCCACCCAGTCCTTTCTCAAAGATCTCACCTCCTCCAGATCCTCTAGCAGTGTCTAGGGCAGCTTGGATGCCAGGAGAAGGGGAGCAGGCACAAGAATGCCTGAATTTATAAGCTCCCAGCTCCACCTGGGTCTGGAAGTGGGGTGGTGTAGGGTGTGGGGGGGAGGTAGCTAACATTCAGGTTTACAGGTAGGGACGCCTTGGTAGCTAGTGGGGTGGGGGACTTGGCCTAATGAGCATTTATTAGGCTGAAGCTGTTGTCTGAGTCTACAAGAAGGAATTCCCCACCAGGGGCAGTTCCTCAATGGGAAGGAGATGGGAGAGCAAGAGCAGAAAATTGAGGACATCAAAATACAGAGCCTGGGATTTGGGGTCCAAAGTGTGGAAACTGGCTCCTAGAATCATATTTCTTTTACCTGGGACAGGGTTCTGGATCTTGGATTCTCGATCTGGATCTTGAATTCTGATTTAGGGGTCTTGGTTTGGTATTAATGAACTGAAATCTGGAGTGTGGACTTTGAAGTCTGAGTTCTGGGGACTAGGGGCTAGAATCTGGATCCTGGAGTCAGGCCTTTAAGTGGAAGGTCTCAGGCTTGGATTCTGAATCCTGGGCATTTGAATCTGGAGTCCAGAGTAGTAGTCTAGAGTCTGGTGTTTGCAGTCTGGAACTTGAAGTTGAAAACCTTTACCTTCTGTGTGAATTCTGAGGCCTAGAGTACAAATGATAGATTTTGGATTTTGAATTTGGGGGCCTGAATTCTAGAGTTTTGCTCTGAGATTTCACTTGGTCACCCTTGGTAGAGTGCGTGGCATCTTAGCTCATGGCAACCTCAAACTCTTGGGTTCAAGTGATCCACTTGCCTCCGTCTCCCAAGTAGCTGGAACTACAAGTGCCCGCCACAACGCCTGGCTATTTTTTAAGAGATGGAGTCTCACTTTGGCTCAGAGTCTCCAACCTGTGAGTTCAGGCAATCCACCCACCTTCACCTCCCAAGTGCTGGGATTACAGGTATGAGCCACCACACTCAGCTGAAGTCTGGAGTTTCAAATGTGCATTGCACATTTAAGAGGCTGGACTGATGGCTCGGCACCTGTAGCTCAGCGGTTAGGGCGCCAGCCATATACACTGGGGCTGGCTGGTTCGAACCCAGCCCAGGGCCTGCCAAACAACAATAACAGCTACAACAAAAAAAAGCCAGGCGGGCAGTGCCTGTGGCTCAAAGGAGTAAGGCGCTGGCCCCATATGCCAGAGGTTCAAACCCAGCCCCAGCCAAAAACTGCAAAAAAAAAAGCCAGGCATTGTGGCTGGTGCCTATTCTCAGCATCTTTGGAGGCTGAGGCAAGAGAATCGCTTAAGCCCAAGAGTTTGACGTCACAGAACTCTACTGAGGGCTACTTCGTGAGAGTCTGTCTCAAAATAAATAAATAATAAATAAAAAATATAAAAAATAAAAGAGGCTGGACTTGGAGACAGAGGCCTAGCTGTCATGATTCTGAGATTGCTAGAATCTTAATTCTAGATTATAAATTTAGAGACTGGGTGCCAGGGGTCTCTATTCCTGATTCTGTTTTTCCTTCTGGGTTCTGGAGCTTGAAATCTGGATTCTGCATTCCAGAGGCTTCAGATCATCATTAAGATGACCCAAGGTTTTGCGTATTTGAGGCTGGCTTCTGAGAACTCCAGAGGGCCCTGAGCAATTGTCTAGAGTCTGTCCTGACTTATCTAATGAGGGGGTTCAGAAAGCAGGAAGGGCTGGCCTCAACTCATTCAATGAAGGCATGGGAGCTGTTATAGAATGGTGTCTCCCCATGTCTGAAAAGTCATCCCCTTTATGGGAAGGAGCTGCATGAGTGGGGCTCATCCATTCCAGAATTATAGGTCCTCGAAATTTCTAGAGTATCAGCTTTTCAGATTTTAGAATTACAGGCCCTAAGGCATTCTGGAAGTTGGGGTTCTCTGTCACTCTGGAACCTAAGATATTTGAATAGTCTTGAACCACAGATCTCGACACTGGTACCTTGGAGCCTTCCACGTTCTGCAGCCCCAAGACCTTTAGGCATTCTAGAAATTTGGGTCTCCAGACAATCTACAAACCCAGACTGGCAGCTATTTAGAGATCCGTTGTCCTTTTGTTTCCCCACAAATTCATGCTCAAAGTCTCTGGGCCTCAGCTTCAGGCTAGCAACCCCTGTTTATGGAATGTTGGCCACAGGCCACACCCTGGGCTGAGTGCTCTCCTTGCATGACCTCATCTATGCTCTGGACACCCCTGTGAGGTGGTTATTATGGCTTCCTCCATAACAGGGAGGAAAATGAGGCCCAGAGAGGGGGCAACACAGAGCAAGTGCATGCCGAAGGCAGGAGGCCAAGGGGGAGAGGATCCTGTGTTCTGACTCCAGGAACAGCTGGTTGGCCTGCTGGCCCCCATCCTTGCTGCCACCTCCTTTTTTGGTTCTGAGGGGAAAGAGGCTACTGGGCACCGATGACGGCTTCCTCGGTGCCAGGCCTGTGATAAACGCTTTCCATCACGCCCGCCTGTGCTCCTATTAACCAACGCAGGTACCGATGGGGGCACCCATTGAGCGCCCATGGGGCGGGGCCCTGCGCACACTCATTCTGACGCTCGGTCTGCGAATTAGCCCGCCGGGAGGGCGTCCGGCCCCGCCCCGACGCCTGACGTCACGCCCCGCCCCACTCCGGCCCTCTCAGACCTGAGCGATCGATCGCTGCCTCCCCAGACGTCCTTCACCTCCACGGTGGCCGGAGTCTGGCCTTCTGCCCTGCTCCTCCACTTCCTCCCTGAGAACAGTCCCAGAGAGTCTTTCTTTTTATCAACTCCCGTGGTTGAATGAGCAGCCACTCAAGTCTCCTCCACCTGACCCTGAACTCCAGGCTTGGGCAGTTACCTGCGTCTGGGCGCCACCCGACTCTCCCCAGACCCAGTGTCCTAACTCGTTTCTCTCTTTTCGGAAACTGTCTCTTCCTGTGTTCTCCATCTCAAGGACAGACCAACCATCATGAGGCCAGACAGCCCCAGACACAGACCTTTCCCTTTCCTTAACCTTAACCCCTACCTCCCATCTATCCCCAGCCTTGTCCCTTCTGCCCCTGATTTTTTCTGCTCTGTCCCCTCCACTCTGTTCGCTTGGCTGCCCGGCTTTAGCTTAGAAGT